GTTTCACCTTAAGCTATGTCTTGTAGCAAAAATATCTCCAAATTTTAACTCGTGGATCAAAAATGCAATCTGTCAAATTACCTAATTGTAGTTCTCTTGATTATAATAGGATGGATTTTTAAGGGTGAAAAATAATGATTTAATATCTTGAAGATAACTTTTCCCCAAAGCATAATAGGTAACACAGGAATTTATGCCCGTAAGCATCTCAGAATACCTTTTCTCCTTCTCGGTTTGGATCCAAGAGAGGCTTCTGTTCAGAAGCGGGCAAAGGAGGTGCCTCATTCCAAATCTTTCTCCACGAATTGCCAAACTCAGACATTCTTTCTGAAAGCTTTCCTCGAGGGGGCCACTCAACCGTTAACCCTTTGATTGCATTATCGTGAGATGCTCCACTGTCCATATTATCATTGTTCTCCCAGTCTCTAGGTGAATGCCATCGGATGAAATCTTCAAAAACAGCATCTGGATTTGCTGCTTTAAATGCAGACATATCTAGTTCATAGTGCAAGGATTATCAAGGATGAGTTCATGAAGGAGAGATTAATTCATGTGATCTGCACATCTAGAAAGCAAATAATTTTCTGAAAGAGTACATTTCATGTGATCCACACAACTAGATATGCAGACTAAATAATTGACATGGAAAACAAATCAAACATTTGATTGACAAATAGGTAGATGCAAAGAGTAACTGCAATTGAAAAATTGACAGAGCATTAACTAACATTGATCAGAGATCCTTAATTCTTTGAGAATTCCTAATCATCAAATGTTGTCTCCGAGTCAGTGAGGAGTAATGCTGCTAGTATGCAACTTTTTGACATTTATTAGCTCTTGTTTCTATGTCTATAGTAAGGTGACACAGGAACAGCGTGAACGGCTAGATGAGTCATATCAAGAAACGAATGACTTCAAAATTCTCAATGAGATGCAACTGTCTGTTCAGAAGAAAAGCTGAGAGCAAATGAACCTCTTTTCATCCTTCAGCTAGTGACTGTACCTATGTCATTTTTTGTGCCTATGTCATTTTTTTATAATATATATAGCTGCAACATTAAAAAGATAAGAAGGGTAATAACAACGGTGCTCTGCTGTCTGTAAACCAAGAGGTTGACAAATAGCAAGACAAAAAATGTGCTAAAAGTAATTAGCTTTAGGCACAAAATCTTTGCATTACAAAACTCTGCAAATGTTTGCAAATTCTCAGTGTTAGTTTGATAGTTAAATAGTAGTATATAACCCTAATCCCATATGTATTAGGAGTAGTACATGTATTATATATATAGGACTCATTGTATCATTGTCAATTTTTTAATCAATAATATATTTTCTCCCATGCTTTCTCACATGATATCAGAGATTCAGTGAGAAAATTATCGTTGTGTGTCATTCCAGCGACTTCCGGGAAGAAAGACCTCATCGCCGTGCAATTTTCCGGCGACTTAAGAGGTTGTCCGTAACAAAATCACTTTCCGTTGGTGTTGTGCAAAAACCAACACCACCACAGGGTTCCCAAGCAAGGGCGGAGCAACGTACTAAATTTAGGTGCTTCACCACCCATTAAACTTTACACAGCATAGGTATAGTTATATAAGAAATTTGAGGCCTCTGATATAAAAAGAAAAGAAAGCACATACCAACCAAAAACGCTAATGGGTGCTTTGGTCATCAAGGGGTAGTCGCTGATTTCAAGAAGGTAGGGGTCGGGAGTTCGAACCACACTGATTATAGTTTAGCGTTTTTTTTAAAAAAATTAAGCACCCGGATCCGCCAATGTTCCCAAGGCTTAGGCGACCAAACCCCACCAAAGATCTCCGGCAACCTCCTCTCACGCGCGGATCGGAAATCTGTTTTTCGGGCGAGTTTTTCCCCACGCGCCGGCGCGTGTGGCCTTTTCCTGGCCAGATTTCAAATTTTTTCCTTCAGACAACCTGTTCGCGTGGCTTTTCCGAGCCTACCCATCAAGTTTACATCAGATTCCGACGACTTTTTTATTTTCCGGCGAGCTACAGTGTTTCCGGTGAACAGTAACCCTGAAACGGTGATTTCCAAACAATTTTCTGACCTTTTCCGGCGTGAACAATATAATGTCATTCTTATTAGAAGCCTTAGACTCACAATTCGTTGGATCGAATGCATTAAATCCAATCCAGATGGTTTCTTTACTGGATTATATTGAGTTCCTTCAGTACAAAGCACGTAAACAGACATCTTCAAGATTAGCCTCCGTCGTTCTAACAAATAGTAGCATGACTTGTGTCTCCCAATCTTCACCTTTTGAGTCTTGGGTCATTGATTCAGGTGCATCTGATCATATTTCTGGTAACAAATCTCTTTTCACTAGTATCTCATATTCTCAATCTCTTCCAACAGTCACAATGGCCATGGGTCTCAAGCCATGGCAACTGCAATAGGTCAAGCAAGTCCACTTCCTTCCTTATCTTTAGACTTAGTTCTTTATGTTCCTGGTAATCCTTTTAATCTCATAGCCGTTAGTCACTTAGCCAAATCACTTGAATCTGCTGTTTTATTCCTTGATGACCTTGTTTTTATACAGGAACGCAGTACAGTGCGGATCATTGGTACCGGACGTGAATCAGATGGACTTTATTACCTTATCCTTGCAAAATCACATGGACTCGCATCTTGTCTTCCTCCAATAACTTGTCCCGTTACTGATTCACCAGATTTATTATATAAACGGTTAGGACATCCCAGTTTGTCAAAACTTCAGAAAATGGTATCTGGCTTATCTCACTTGTCCACTCTAGAGTGTGAGTCGTGTCAGCTCGGTAAGCATACCCGCTCCCATTTCCCGCGGCGTCTTAATAATCGAGCAGAGTCACCTTTTACTTTAGTCCATTCAGATGTTTGGGGTCCTAGTCGGGTTAGTTCTACCTTAGGATTCCGCTACTTTGTCAGTTTCATTGATGATTATTCCAGGTGCACTTGGATATTTTTGATGAAAAATCGATCTGAGTTGTTTTCTATTTTCCAGACCTTCCACACTGAAATTCAAAATCAATTTGGGATTTCTATCCGCACATTTCGTAGTGATAATGCCCTAGGGTATTTGTCTTCCCCATTTCAGCAGTTTATGAACTCCCATGGCATTATTCATCAAACATCTTGTCCGTACACATCCCAACAAAATGGGGTAGTTGAAAGAAAGAATAGACATCTTATTTGATAAGAATGGACCTTGGACCTAACTCAACCCCAAAAGCTAACTTATGAGGTGAGGATTGCCCAAGCCATATAAGGAGATCA